CAAAGTGTCGGGATTACAGGCATGAGACACCACACCTGGCAGATTCCACTTTTATGAGATACCCAGAGTGGTCAACTCACAAAGACAGAAAGTAGAATAGTGGTTGCTAGGAGCCCAGTGAAGGTGGTAACGGGGAATTATTACCTAATGGATACTTTGAGATGATGAAATAGTTTTAGTGATGAATGGTGGTGACAGCTGCACAACAATACAAATTTACTTAATGTCAGTGAGTTGTACACTTAAAATTGGTTAAAATGGTAAAATCCTATGTATTCATGAAATAAACCCTACATATTTATCACATACCTATGTATCAGCTGGAATTTTTTTCTTTATTTAGAGTTCTTGGATTCGTGTAAAATACTTATCTATATTATAGACGTCTAATATAGATAAGTATTATAGCACTTATCTATATATTATTTTGCTATATAGTATAATAACAAAGATAAGTCTATAGTGTTTTGTTAATATATTAATGCTTGACAGAAAAGTGTTAAAAATGAAACATTATAAACAGTGTTATTCAAAACAACATTATTTGTAATTATTCCTCAAAGAGGAGTAAATTAGTTAACAGTACATCTGTATGTAAAGGGATATGATGCAGCTCTACACATACTGATATGGAATGATTTCCAAGACACAATATTAAGTTAAAATTTAAAGCAAGGTCAGAAGAGAACATACATTATTGGCTATCATTTGAATAAAATTAAATACAAGAAATATACATGCAAACATATGTGGACTTGCTTATATATACACTGAGTTTCTCTGGAAGGATTTAAAAACCACTGGTAACACTGATGGCTTTAGGGAGGGGAGTAGATGCCCGGGGAAGTGGAAGGAAGAGGATACTTCACTGTGTATTCTTTCAAAACTTTTCATTTTGGATTATCTATTCAAAAATAACTAACATTTTAGTAACAGAATGGAAAGGGAGAAATCCTCTATCTTGAAACTTTAAAGGCTATAAGAATTAAGATGGTGAACTGCTCAAATTATTTCACTAAACTCAAGAAAAAGAAAAGAAGCCCAGTTAATACTATTATTACTGTAGAAAAAAATGATCTGGAGGTCCCAGCTAATAAAACAGGGAAGGTAAATTAATTCATCAATATAAATGTTCAAGAATAATTGACAATATATTTGGAGATATGACATTATACAGTCATGCATCACTTAACAATTTCATCGTTGTGCAAACATCAGAGTATACTTACACAAACCTAGATGGCATTGCCTACTACACATCTAAGCTATACGGTATAGCCTCTTGCTTCTGGCTACAAACCTGTACAGCATGTTACAATACAGAATACTAAAGACAATTACAATACAATGGTAAGTATGTAAACATAGAAAAGGTACAGTTAAAAAAAACAGAAAAAGTACAGTAAAAATACACTATTATAATCCTATGGGACTACCATCATATATGTGATCCTTTGTTAATCAAAACATCATTGTGAGGCACATGTACAGAGAAGCAAAGTTATCTTTATTTATAGATGGTATGACAATATACATAGAAACCTATGAGAATCATTTTTTTTTTCTTCCTTTAAACAGTCTCTGTCATCCAGGCTGGCGTGCAGTGGTGCCACCTCGGCTCACTGCAACCTCCGCCTCCCCAGGTTCAAGCGATTCTCCTGCCTCAGCCACCCAAGTAGCTGGGATTACAGACACATGCTACCACACTCAGCTAATTTTTTTATTTTTAGTAGAAACAGGGTTTCGTCATGTTCCCCAGGCTAGTCTTGAACTCTGGGCTTCAAGTGATCCACCTGCCTCGGCCTCCCAAAACGCTGGGATTACAGGTGTGAGCCACCACACCTGGCCAATCTATTTTTTAATCTAATAAAATATTAACAGTTTGTCTATAAGACCATAAAAGATAAAAATACAGGGTTAGGGGATGAGATCTCATTAAAATTAAACCCAAATGCCTATTACTAAATTTAATAATATATTTTTTTAATCCTACAAAAGACCTCTTTTGTTTTTCCTTTCTGTTTGAGATGGGGTATCGCTTTGTCACCCAGGCTGGAGCACAGTGGTGAGATCTCAGATCACTGCAACCTCCACCTCCCAGGCTCAAGAGATCCTTCTACCTCAGTCTCCCAAGCAGCTGGGACTACAGGCGTGCACTACCACATCCCACTAAGTTTTGTATTTTTGGTAGAGATGGGATTTCACCATGTTGCCCAGACTGGTCTCAAACTCTTGAGCTCAAGTGATCCACCCACCTTCGCCTCCCAAAGTGCTGGGATTACAGGCATGAGCCACAGCACTCGGCCAAGACGTTTTTGCTTCCAAACATTATAAGCTCAATACCACAAACCCATTGTACTTGCTAACATTTCTTTAACACAATTCTAGGTAAAGTGGTATTCCATAACTTTAGTCTTAATTATGATCTTAGGATTTAATCCTGTGAAGGTAATGTGGGGAGAGGGCCCTCGGGGATTATGAAATGATACTTCTTCATTTATTAGTGGGGAAGACTTCTTCCTATCTAGAGAAGTAGAGAAACTTCCCTTGAACTATTTTTTGCCCAGCAGTAGCCATTAAATACATGTCACTTAAATTTCCTAAATCCATATTCATAAATAGGGTCCATTGGTAAAAATTGGTGGAACTATATAAAAACTAACTTTTAATATGTAGGTAAGCAGGCCATCTTGCTTCTCTTAATTTTTCACTTGAAAATGAAAATTCATATTATAATCACTGGAGTACGGTTTTTTTAATCCTTTCATATGTTTACAGTGTCATCCTCCTGTCACCTAACAATTATGTACTGTTTGCCATGAGTTTATTCTTTTGTTTTGTTTAATCTGAATCAGTATTAAAATTTATCAAATGAATCAATGGGAGGAGGGCCTGTGCCCACGCTACCTTCACGGGATTAAACAGTAAGACCAACAGACAACTTCACATCAGAAACAATGAGAGCCAAAAGACAATGTATTGTGAATTTCAAAGCAGTCAGATAAACAGAATTCCATCTCCAGCAAAAATATTCGTTAAAAATAAAGGTTAAAAAAACTTCTGCTTCTTTAGCTAATGACAGACCAGTGAAAAAAAAGAGAACTAGAAAAACTAGAGTATGGGGCAGAGGGGGGATGGGGAGGCAGAGGGGGGATGGGGAGGCAAAGGGGGGTTGGGGGGGTTGAGGTACCCAGAAATCTGATGCTAATTTTTTAAAGCTCCCCATGACAGCTCTGATTTATAAAGCTTCCCAGATAATTCTGCCACAGAGCTGGGTCTGGGAACCACCAACATAAATGATCTCAAACTATCTGATTACATCCTATAACAATATAAATAATGGGATGTAGCAGGATCTTGTATCTGGTGGGTATGAACTCTGCATGGCACATATATGCCTTATTGTAATACTTGGGCCAAAACATCAAAACAGACCTTATAATTTATGTAGGCATTAAAAAAAACAACAGTATTTGTTTCCTAAAAAGCTGTAAAAAAAAAAAGTCGGCTGGGCGCGGTGGCTCACGCCTGTAATCCCAGCACTTTGGGAGGCCGAGGCAGGTGGATCACCTGAGGTCGGGAGTTCGAGACCAGCCTGGCCAACATGGTGAAACCCCGTCTCTACTAAAAATACACAAAATTAGCTGGGCGTGGTGGTGGGCGCCTGTAATCCCAGATACTTGGGAGGCTGAGGCAGGAGAACTGCTTGGACCTGGGAGGTGGAAGTTGCAGTGAGCCAAGATCACGCCACTATACTCCAGCCTGGGTGACAGAGCAAGACTTCGTCTCAAAAAAAATAAATAAATAAAATAAAATAAAAAAATTTATGTAAACTATAATGACCTAATTTGGAGTAAAAAAAAAATTTATTCCTGATTTTCCATACCACTGCCTAAAATGAATGTGTTATATTTTTATTTATTTTACTTTAAGCTCTGGGATACATGTGCAGACTGTGCAGCTTTGTTACATAGGTATACACACATGTACCATGGTGGTTTGCTACACCTATCAACCCCATCATCTAGGTTTTTCCCACATGCATTAGGTGTTTGTCCTAATGCTCTCCCTCCCCTTGCCTCCAACACCCCCCACCGAATGTGTTATACTTTTATCATACAACTAAGCAAAATCAAGATGTATCAGTCTTGACTGTATATTAATCAACACACACAAAACCAAGATGTTCTAAAATTTAAAAGTTTTTTAAAGTAAAGGAGCCATGAAATTAATGGCAAGGACATCCGGAGGTGACTCTTGATGCTTTTCCAATAATGACACATAGAAGAGTTACTTCAGTCTTAAGAAAAAGCAAAAGAATTTTTTAAAAAAACAATGCATTACAACAACCATCTATAAACATTCTGAAAAGCAAGGTATTTGGCATCAAGAATAAGATAAATCTTAAATATAGCCATTTGAGCTTGCAAATGATCTACATCAAGTTCAGTTGTTTCTTTTTTTCTTGAGACAGAGTCTCACTCTGTTGCCCAGGCTAGAGTGCAGTGGCAAGATCTCAGCTTGCTGCAACCTCCATCTTCCAGGTTGAAGCAATTCTTGTGTCTCAGCCTCCCAAGTAGCTGGGATTACCGGCACTTGCCACCATGCCCTGCTAACTTTTTATATTTTTAGTAAAGATGAGGTTTCATCATGTTGGCCAGGCTGGTCTCAAACTCCTGGCCTCAAGTGATCTGCCCGCCTCGGCTTCCTGAAGCAGTGAGATTACAGGCGTGAGCTACCGCGCCCAGCCGCAAATGGATCAAGTTTAAAGGAAAATATTAAATGGAATTTATTTGTACACAGCAAACACTCCTTGGAATAACTGTTTTACTAAGCAGCATCTTGATCACATTTAATGAGTATAAAATACAAAATTTACCTAAGAAGTAATGCCCAGAACTCCATTAAATTATCTGTACATTTCTGATTTCAGTAAAGCATGATAGGAGTGATGATTTTTGTTTGCTTTTGTTTTAAATAGAGTAAGTTAAAATACTTACCTGGGTTTCATATAAGTGGGCAATGTGAAATTGAACTGCAAAGGATGAGGCAAAATAAAAAATCAGTAATAGTACAGCAGAATTTGGGGCAAATTAAGTAAGAATAACAAAACATCAAACATTATCACAGTCTACACTATATAGATTTAAGTAATAGAAAAACATAACTTTTATTTGCTTTTACTAAAATAGACCATACAAACAAACACACGAAAGAACATAATCATGCTAAGAAACCACATGTATTCATTGTTGGTCATTATCAAATGAAATTTCTGTCAATGTAATTATTAAAATTAGCATTAAATCTATAGCAAGTGAATATGTTTTACAAAGTTCAAAATGGCAACATTAAGCAAATAGAGAAAACCTTTATAATCTATACATTTCAAAACACAGTATTTAAAACCTGAATCCCAAGTCAAACAAGAGTAAAATCAATATTTAATTAAAAAATATTAAAACCAAAGTACAAATCAGTGATGACATAAAAAATTCAAAGAGAAATAAGTTTTACAAAGACAATAAGGAGCCTGGTGTTGAAGAGTAACACTGGCTCAAAGTAGGTACTCTACATTTATTGTGACATCAGGCATTATCATAGTTATCAAGTAATCAAGTAGACTGTCTAAAGTAAACTATCCAAATCAACTAAACTGCAATAGCCTAAAGTCTCTAAATAGAAAACATGCTCTCCCATTTGAGTGATCAACCACCTTGTAGCACTCATGATGGTTCAAACTGTTTCAAATTCAGCAGTTTTCTGCCATGTGGCACTCATCCTACCTATGCAGACATTTTTCTCTCAAGAGTAATGATCTACAACTGAGATTTAAACAGAGTAGAATAAAACGAGGATTTACCAAAATATTTAGTTTGATATTTATGTGACATCCCTAAAAAAAAATCATTCAACTGACTTACCAAAGTTACCTTTTAGGTACTAGACCATAATGAATTAAAGGATAATCAGTTGTTTTCTTATAAACTAATTTGAAAAGAATTTTAAGCATCTATATATTATAGATGGTTTATACAACCTGGATATATAATTAAGAAAAACGTATAAATTGAAACTTTATAAATTACTAAACCAATGACTCAATTTGTTCAAATCGAACCTTATCTTAGAAACTATAAAATATTGCTGCATGTTATTTTTCTACCATTTATTCTACAAACACCCTAATCAGTATCGGATCCTGAATTTCATTTAAGAAAATAAAAATCCTTTGAATTTTCACAGGAAATTACCTTTAGTAAAAGTATGACGTAATTCATCTGGCTTAAATGATGATTTAATCCATACTATTTCTAAATCCATGTTATACTGAAAATTCTACAGGGTTTTCGCTGATTCAACAAATTCCTAGGGCATTTCTAAAGACTAAGACTACTTTTCACTAATATCTCTCTATACTCTTTTAAGTGATTTACAGGAGGCTAAGGCAGGAAGATCACTTGAGTGCAGGAGTTCGTGGCTGCAGTTGAGCTACTCTGGCACCACTGCATTCCAGCATAAGTGGCAGAGAAAGACTCCGTCTCAAAATGAAACAAAAAACAAAAACAAAAAAGTAACTTAAAGCAAAATACTGACTTTTTAAAACACGAATCCTTTGTAGGACTGAAACTGTCATTAATTGCTCGATTTTTCTTATACCAATTAAAAATTTTATTTTTCGGCTGGGTGCGGTGGCTCACGCCTGTAATCCCAGCACTTTGGGAGGTCGAGGTGGGCGGATCACGAGGTCAGGAGACCGAGACTATCCTGGCTAACACGGTGAAACCCCGTGTCTACTAAAAATACAAAAAATTCGCTGGGTGTGGTGGCAAGCGCCTGTAGTCCAGCTACATGGGAGGCTGAGGCAAGAGAATGGTGTGAACCCCGGGGAGTTGGAGCTTGCAGTGAGCTGAAATCACGCCACTGCACTCCAGCCTGGGCGACAGAGCGAGACTCTGTCTCAAAACAATAATAATAATAATAATAATTTATTTTTCAAGTAAGAGGTTTTTTAAGAAATTCAGCATCAGTGAATATTTTTAAACCTTTTTACTGGATACTCTAGCGTATATTAAGTAAATACACCTAAATGCATATCGATAAACATATAATCAACCCAGTCCGCTTTTGAAAAGACACTTACATAGAAGCAGAAAATAATTGTTTGGAAAAAAATACTTCGTTAGAACATGCTTCATAAATGCATTAAAAAAAAATTAATTGAAAAATGTCAACTCAAACTTTCTAAATGATACATAAAACTATCATAAAAGTCACAAATGTCTTCATAATTACCAGTAATTTTTATCCCACACAGTAGGAATCAGTAAGCTATCAGATAAGAATCTTTATATACTCAGATGTTTCCCCAAAGACCAGCAAAATCTGTTTTTAATCCTACCAAGTCATCTACAATATAATACACAACAGAAAAAAATCAATCTTGCTCATTAGTGAAGATACTTTTAAAAAAAAAACTCACTTCACTGGCCTATCTATTTTAGACACAGGCTGTTCACAATATCTGGTCTTGCAGGTTCCATTTGTGTAAGTAGCCATGGCAACCAATACAGTTACATTAAACAATTCTAAAAGAAAAAATTGCACAGAATTTATCACTAACATTATTTTTATTTGCCATGAAGTGATCTGAATACATGTAGAAAACTACAGTACTTAATAATACTTACTTTCAGCATTGGACAAAGTGCAGGGATTACAGTCAACCAAAGCTAACTGAAAATGCTGCAAGAGGAGAGTGAGAAAGTTAATGCACTCAATTTAGAGTCACATAAAAGCATCTTAAGATACTTTTCAGGTATGTAAGGTCTAAAATAATAATAAATACATGCTGTGCAAATAAAATACACTAGCCTACTAACTAGAAATACTTTGAACATTTACTGCTGATAACTGACATGCTGTGGGGTTATTTTCTTGAGAAAGCTGAGAATAGAGAATTTGAAGAAGAATTAATTTTATCAAGTTATCCTATCTATACTTTTATTTATATGAAAAAGGTGAAGAGTTTTAAATCAAGTAAACAGGAAGTGTTATACAACAGTTTAAATAGAGAACATATCATTAGTTTTAAAAATCCAAGTAGAAGTCTGATGGTATTGTCAGAACACCACTGCTTATCTCAAAATGAGACATGGACTTCTGAAACAAAAAAATTACTATGAGAATTCTCATAGAGGGTAAAACTTTCCCTCTTTACTGATCTTTCAATAATCACTGTATTTAAGTGCCTTTTAAAACAGCCTGTGTCCAAGTTCATCTACCAAATATAACCGTCCTTTTACAATGTGACAATATATGTATAGAATTTGTAAAATTTTCCAGTCAACAATAAACCACTAATATAGTATCCACTTGTAATAATATCATATAAGCACATTAACATCAATGCATAACACTAATTTTTAGGAATGCATATTATCAAGAACACTGGGTGACATTTAATATCTAGTGTATCAACATTAAACAAGGTAGATAAATTAAGACAAACAAGTAACAGAGTTGGTATAAAATCTAAGTTAAAGATGAGTAAATCTCTTTAAACTCTTCTAAATAACATTTCTACAAATGTATATTCAAATTTTCTGAGCCTCTACAAATTTTTAGCATTAAAAGTAATCAACAAAGTGGAAAGCATTAAAAAAATGACCACAATAAATTCATTCCTATCTACAATCCAAAAATCTAAAGAGTTACTGATGTTGGCTACCCAAAAGTCACAAGGAAGGAAAAATTAGAAAACATCATTTGGTATGAGCACTGGCTATTATTAATGTATTCATTCAAGAATGTCTCTTGGCCAGGCACGGTGGCTCACGCCTGTAATCCCAGCACTTTGGGAGGCCGAGGTGGGTGGATCACCTGAGGTCAGGAGTTCAAGACCAGCCTGACCAATATGCTGAAACCCCATCTCTACTAAAAATAAAAAATTAGCCGTTCATGGTGGTGAGCGCCTGTAGTCTCAGCTGCTCAGGAGGCTGAGGCAGGAGAATTCCTTGAACCCGGGAGGCGGAGACTGCAGTGAGCCGAGAGCGTGCTACTCCACTCCAACCTGGGCGACAGAGATTCCATCTCAAAAAAAAAAAAAAAAAAAAGTCTCTGATGTGCATGCATAATTAGGCCAGCCAACACTTGTAGTATTCTTAAAACTTAAAGCTGATTACATCTTCTGAATGGGTAAATTACTAACAAATGACTGTGACCCTTAAATGTTAAATGTTTAATTTATCTAACAAGTATTTATCAAGAGCCTATAATGCCCTAAGGACAATGCAGACACTAGGGATGCAATGGTCAACAAAACAAAAGTGAAAAATCATTTGCCATGGTTGACTGAATGAAAAAAATCTAACATTTGAACACTTTGAAAACTGCTTTTATTTTCCCTTGGCCTACTAAGCAGACTACGTCTTCAAACATCCGTTTAGTGTGCTACTACAGCAATAGAAAACAGACTATTTTAAAACGTTTGAGTACTATGAAAGCAAAGCATGCTTTATAATCAATTGCCTTCCTCTAGACAAAAAGAGCAGAAGAGTAGTCACACATTTTCAGACTGTACTACATCTCTAAGTCTAATTTGTCCTGTAAGCATAAATTAATATTTAGATAGATTCCTAACTGAGCCATCAAAGGATACAAACTGAAATGAGAAGAAACAGCCTTCAATATGGCAATATTTTAGTTTTACTATTTCACTGAAACCCCACAAGGAAGAATAGAGATGTAGAATTCAAATAGCCTAGCCTACATTTCATCTATCAGTAATTCAAGATTCTGCAATGAAACCTGGCAGGAGTATTTCTTGACCATGCTTTGTGTAATTATTAAACAATCTTAAAAGCAGCAATTAAGTTACTGATGCACTATTTCAAACTCACAACCCTATGAAATACCAAACATTTCCAAACATAGGAAAATTACTCAGCAAGAGAATACACATTGGTTGGGCACAGTAGCTCACGCTTGTAATCCCAGCACTTTGGGAGGCCGAGGCAGGCAGATCACCCAAGGTTAGGAGTTCGAGACCAGCCTGGCCAACATGGTAAAACCCCATCTCTACTAAAAATACAAAAATTAGCCGGCATGGTGGCGGGCGCCTGTGGGGGAAAAAACGAGAATCTGTTTCAAAAAACAAAAACAAAAAAAACCCACAAATGAATACACATTCAAAAACATCCACTATGAGAATGAAAGAACTTACAGAATAATTACTAAGTGTTCATAAGAAACTAACACCATTCTACATAAAGAAAAACACTGATACACCATTCAGCACTCTTAAGAGAGATGAAGAACCGGGGTGGGGATAACATGACCACAAAGCCTCATTTCCAGGACCTAAACCAGATGCAAAATAGATGTACCTATTAACATATACACCAGTATAAAGGACTATCAATTATGATAACCAGCCCACAAACCTGAAAATATCATGGTAAAATATCCAGCACCCTTCCCTGCAACCAACAGAGGCAGCTAGGAAACATCTGTGCCTCTCACTGAAACACTGCAGTGCTGAAACTGGCTACTGCTGTGTGAAATAATTATTATGCAGAAGAGGCCTTTGCAGTTCAAAGACTATATACAAACCTGAAGGCGGAAAGCAGTCTACAGAAAATTAGTTTCCAAGCAAGAAGATTTACTTATGACTTTTTTTTTTTAATGTTATAGAGATTTCCTTTTTATGGAGCACTTCTGGTCCAATTTAACGCAAGGTTTGATTCATTACCATTTCTGTTGACATCTTTATCACCAAAGTCACCTTTTGTTTTAAAAGCCTTCAACGTGTTCAATATTTCAAAATAATGTTAGAGTATTTTGCCTAATACAGCCAACGAACTTTATTTCTATTGAGGGGGAGAAATCTATATTCATGTAATTAACACATAAAACTTGAGTTTCAAGACTTTATTTCCCTTTAAATTGTTTTATTTCTAGGTGTATATAGTCTGGTTATCTCATGAATCTTTTCACTTGTAGAACCCTTCAACTGTATTCCCAATCCCGAAAACAAGCAACGGGATAACTTTTTGCAATTGACAAATTATGTATTTAGTTATAAGTAATTAATTTGGAGCAATGTTTGGATTCCAGTACCAATCTAGAATGTTCTGATTCAGTGGGTTGTTGGCAACAACCTGCAAACCAGAAAAAAGCTTATACAAGTTATTCTAATATACAGAGTTAAACTACACTACTCTATTTTGAAGTTTTTAAATTATGTGCTTGCCCCAGAAACCTTTATTTCAGACTACATAAACAAGGTATGTATAGTTGATACTGCTGTCTATTTCCAATTAAGGTAGACACATGGCATTTTAGGACTGACACGCTGGCAACCAGCTTTTACCAGCTTTTATCTTATGCCAGGCATGCCTCTATGGCTATTCACCTACAGAATACAATGTTCACTGAAATTAATGCCTTAATAGGATTTTTAAAATTTTAACCTGCTCTGAGAATACACAGAAAAGACAACTCCATAAGAGAATCCAAAAAGATATAGAGGAGGAAAGTAAGAAATGAGTTGCTTCAGGCTGAGGAAACCACTGAAGTTATTTTTACAGAGCATTATAAAACAGGGTTATAATGACCATTTAAGTGAGAAAAGGAAAGGTGTGCCAGGTACTGTTGCATGTCAAAGATAAATCATTTTTTTCTTATTCATTGTTACAGATTGCCACATTTCTAAAATTATGAATTTAGGGAGGGGCATGGTGGCTCACACCTATAATCTCAGCACTTTGGGAGGCCAAGGCGGGCAGATCACTTGAGGCCAAAAGTTTGAGACCAGCCAGGCCAACATGGCAAAACCCAGTCTCTACTAAAAATACAAAAATTAGCAGAGTGTGGTGGCACACACCTCAGGTGGCTGAGGCATGAGAATCGCTTGAACCAGGAAGCCAAGGTTGCAGTGACCCAAGATCGCGCCACTGCACTCCAGCATGGGCAACACAGTGAGATTTCATCTCAAAAAAATAAAATTAATATTACAAAATAAAATAAAAGTATAATTTGAAACCAACAAACTTGATTCCTAAAATGAATAGTCTATGGGTAAGAATAGGGAAATGCCTTAGGATGTCATGGTACTTACTTTAAAAATGTGGTCTCTAAAATGAGATACAGAACTGAAAATGGTTAAGTTTTGGTGGGGCTTGTGAGCCATGTTCCTGGTCAAGATGATCTGACTCAGATTCTCCCAAAGCCCTCAAAACTCAGTTCTGATTTTCTTTGTAATACAAGGTTATTACAACTGTTTCCAGGAGGGAATCTACTGCATACCAATAACTTGCTAATAGCTAACAAATCCTAACGATCTTCACTCAAAAAAGAGGCTTCTTTTTTGAAGTTTACCAGCCGGTCTCTTCTAAAAATTTAACAACAACAACAAAAAAAAGGAAGACAAAACACACTGTATACTGAAGACGTTCAAAATCTTAGTTCCAGCTCTTCTTTTTGGCTCCAGATTTCTATCTGTGTACATGAATATCTGATATTCCTCAGGTACCTCCAAATCAATTTACTCCCAAATGACTTATCTCCATTCAGCGCCTTTTCACCTCCTAAACCCAAAACCGGCTGCTACTTTACTTATCCCCTACTTTTTAACACAGTAAAGTGGTCTGAGCCCGTAAATGGGGAATCTCTTCCCACATCAAGTCAGTTAATAAATCTCTTTAAGATCTCTAGGATACATTCATTACCTTGCCCCCATCCAT